CTTCCTTTTTGATCTCCTTCCTCCCCTCTCCCCCTTACCTCTTAGCATTAGTATATCTTCCAGACACTCATGTACTTAAGATGTATGATAGCCAGGTTTCAACTTGTATGATGTTTGGGAATTGGGTGGGGGTGGGTGTTTGTTTAAAATTGATGACTAAGACAGAACTTCCTCATATATTGTCAAAAGTGTGAAAAGGTTATTTGACAATAGTTCTAAAAGTTTAACTGTTTTACTTACGTGGTTGATTTTTGTACAATGTCAGCTTTCCTTTTGGCTGAACAAGCATATCTAGTAGTAAGGACTAAACCAGGTGGACTGGTAAAATAACTGGGAGACACCTGTTTTAGGAAATAAGTCATTTCCTTCTGCTTCTTTCCTTTTTATGTCAGCATTTAAGAATAAAGAGAGGGAGCTGGTCATCTGAGGATTAAAATTGTCAAATTTATTTGCTATTTAAAAGCTTACCAGCTCTGACTTGAGAAGATATGCCAAACTTCTCCTCATGTAGCATGGCTATAATTTGAAAACATGAAATAGCCTGAGATAATCTAGTGTCTTTGGGAAGAGAATGTAATCTTAAAACAGACTCTTCAGGTCTGATGGCATTCTGCATAGACACACGTATGAAAACATACTGGGTTTACTGCAGAAGTAGGGTGTCATGAAAACAGTGTACTAATGGAAAGCCTGCTGTTTCCTCAAGAGATTTGCCTCAGGATTTGTCATAAATGAAGGTATTAAGAAAAACCCAAAACACCAAAACATGAACTCCTTTAAAAGCAGAATCCAAAAGAAGTTTTGTTCAAGGATTATGGGAGAGGTATGTGTAAGCTCTACCAGCCGAGTCCACACTATAAGCCACTGCTTGTGATTTTGATCCTTCTGATAAGGTAACTGTGAAGCACAAAACATCATATACACAATAACATAATAATTTTTTCAACACATTTAAATATTTTCTTCTTTGCCCTACTTGACCTATGACACAGTACAGCATAGAAGTCTTTTTAACTGAATACCAATTCTGCTTTCACTAGTGTTGTTAGCCCATTGTCTTCCTGCAAAACAGAGATATGCCACAAATCATCTGAGGTCCACTACAGCTATTGAATACTGTCTAGTTAAATTTTTGCAGCGTACTGGAACTGTGAGGGCAGCCATAAAACCAAGAAAAAATGTGTTTATAGAAATTCTTTTAGAAGGAAACGAAGGCTGAGTAGTGTTACAGACAAAGGGACCCAGGAGGTTGAGGAGGAACCCTTCCTTTTATACAACCCAGGCATAGCTTGTGTGATCTGTTGTGACCACATGGACTTAAAATCTGCTGCCCCCTTATCTTAACTCATTCACCTTTTTTATTAATGCAGAAAAAAAATACGAGTTTGTCATGATGGACAGTGGGGGCAGAGGGATTCTGTGAAGAAACTGTTTTGCTTATATTTTCCATTTCTCCTGCAGTAGTTGCTAAATCACAGCAGGAGCTTGCTGTGTTCATAATATTATATCATAGTGACTTACAGAGATGGAAAGAAAATCACATACATGCGGTGCCAATTTGCAACTAAAATCTCATCATTTTACCCATGCATCTTTCTTTTTTTGAATCTTGCTCAAGAGACTTTCACAGATTCTGGAAATTACGGGTATGTTCTTCCACTGATCTCCTTTGACAAATGTATCGAAGAGTTCTCAGGTATAAGTGAGCCTGCACTATGAGGCAGGATGATTATGCCATTGGCTGAGCCTCCTCATTATTAATTTGTTGCCTAACTCGAGGATGAAGCTTTAGCCAGTACTAGTAATTCTGACTGTCCTATCTTTATCAAAGCAACAATCTGAGTTTATCCTTAGTTCTGCTATATTTTTTTTTCAGTAGCTTTGTTATTTATTTGGTGTTTGTATCTTCTGCTTTTGTTGTTTTGCATTAGGCTAATTTATTTATCTGGTCTCACATTTGTATTTCTTCAGTCTGGTGTTATACTTAAGAGCAGAGTGAGGTGTTTCATTTCCACATGTTTAAAATTGGTTTTGAAGAGTTTATGATACATGTCTGTATGTGTCTCTATAAAATATGATTCCAGGTATGTTGCAGTGCTGTAGCACCGTAATTTTTCTCCAGAAATGAATTTGAGATAATCTAAGTTGCAGATCTTGTCATATCTATGTCACAGTGGTATCATCAGTAAAGCTTCTGGAGCTTAAAGAGGAAAATAATAAGTATGTTACCTTAAAAATGCAGCTAAAAGATATTGAAGAATGTAGTTTCTCATTTAGAATTAAATCATCGCCTCTTTGGAGAAGGGGGGTGTGGGGAAAGGGAAGGGGAGAGGATTCAAGGAAGTTCAACAGTCTAACCTTGCAGTGTTTCTGCCAAAAGCTTCCTTTCAGTAGAAGGGTTTGTGGTCTGTTTTCAGTTTAAATCTACATGTATTACGTTCACTGTTAAGGTGAACATAATCCTTAGGATGTGTGAGGATAGTACTGTTTCCTTAGGTACAACTACAGAGTAGGATGAAGACAATTTTTCTGCCTTGAATCAACTCCTGGTTAATTTTCAGCTCAGAGGCCATCATTTGTATCCCTCCCAAATGTCTCCAGAAGAATTGAGGCAGTTAAAAGATGTGGCCTGCTAGGCAAGGAGATGAAAATAACAGTTTCATTAAGGTTTTCATAGATCTAAGAAAATCTTCCCATGTCAAAAGAATATGAATCTGTCTTATTTCTGGGTCTTTTGCAACTAGTAAACCAGGAATATCAGTGAGAATTGAATTATTCCATAGCAAAAGCCTTGCTGAATAATGATGTGAATATTCGTAGGGGCTAGGGCTTCTATAGTGTTGTTTTTCAGACTTCTTACTTCCCTAAACAGCTGCATTAAAATATTCTTTCATGGATACTCTTTACCTCTGTAGATACTGGCCTGTGTTTTTGAAGGTGTTGTTCAACTGCTGTTCCTGTGCTGTCACTCCCAGACTTACATGCTAATATCTTCTCACCCAAAAGGGATAAGAAACAAATTTACAATTGCCATTTAGTCTCATACTAAGGCACCTCTTCTACTAAAAAAAAAAAAAAATCATTATGCTACTGATTTTTTTTTTTTTTCTGGTAAAATCTGAACTATGTGATAAAAACTATTTTAAAAATAAGACATTCTTTCTGTTATAAAGATTATGTCCAAATTTTACTACAACTCAGCAGCACAGTACAGAATACTATGAAGGAGAATTAAATTATGATTTAGTTACTCTTAAGCTAAGCTGGAAACCTTGTGTGGGTTTCCCCCAATACTGGTTTTTACAGTGTAGGCAGGACTGACTTTTGTGACTCAACTAACCATGTTTTTTTAATTAGATCACATCCTAAAGGAAAAATGTTAAAACATCTGAAAATGTAAAATGGATTGGTCTTTTCTAGGAAAATACATATATAAAAATGCAAATAAAATACCAAGATGGCAGTATTGCATGTGAAGCTGTGCTTAACAAAAGGAAAGCTTAGAAGTTCTAGACTAAGCTACTTATGTCTGTTGATTGGGAAAGGTGTATTAATAATTTTCATTTGTCATCCAAGAATCCAGGATGTCTTCTGTGTTGACTAAAATCACAGTACTAGCCTTTAATAGAGATGTGTTATTCCTGTCTTTGGGCTGTGCTTTTTCCAGCTATTGTTTAGGGAGAAATAAGGTGGGAACATCTGTATTACAGCTGCTGTTCAAATAGAGCAATGCTTTTATTCTAGACAAAACAGTTGGCATAATTGTTTTATTTGTTTATGAAAAGACAAATAAGAAAAATTTATATTCTTTTGAAGTGGGAAGATTTTTTTCATTTTCTTGAGATTTAAAAAAAAAAAAAATTGTCCGGAGGGTATTTCATAAACTAGGTTAGACAACTGTCCAGCAACTTTGTTTCTGTGGCTTTAGGAAGGAGATTGGAGATTCTTGTCTTTATGTGCATCATTTCTTGGAATTGTTAGGTTTGATATGAAAGTGTTTATTAATTGTTTCCATGAAGATACTGTGATATATTTACAAGAGCTTGCTGAATTTATTAATAAGTAAATGTGCAGAGGACAAACTGTTTGGGTTTTTTTGATAATTGCAAACGGAATCTGTTCTATTTTCCTAATGAGTAGTTTGGTGGTTTTTTTTTTCTTCAGCTCTACATCTGTCTTTAAATTAAATTCTGTAACAAGTTCTTTCAATTACCTTAATTTAAAATGAGTCTTTGCTCAGTCTTTATTATGTTCAAATTAAGAAAATGACTGTAAGGAAGTGTGTGTATGTATATGTATGTGTATGTATATAAAGAGTATCTAATAATTTTCTATCTTTGAGCTCAGAACCAGTATTTTCAAGCATTGATATTCAGTCTTTTCTCTGAACTATTTATTACTTATACAAAGGCTGACAGCAAAGCTCAGTCTATAATATGTAAATCCTTGTGGAAAAGTAGTGCCAAAAAACTGTGAAAAAATGGGTCCAGGCAGCTGCGTCACAAGGTTTGACCACTTCGGGCTGGGGTGCCAGGAGATTTGAGACAGATGTTTTCAGACATGCCGCATGCCTAAAACATTTCCAGGGGTCGAGCTACAAATAGTGACTTAATAAGTGTAGAAACAGGAAAAGTATGCAGGAGGACACAAGAGTTTATTCACCCCTAGGTGCACAGCCAGCCTCTTTACATTACATCTGCCTGTCAGGGTTGGCTATTTAAGCTGTCATGCCCTTGGTATTGCTCTTTGTCTGCCTGTGAATAAAGTGCAGCATTGTGATTACTAATCCCACTCCAGTGACTTGACTTTAAATGTGGTTTTGGAGTGGATCCCGGAGTTCTGTTTGCTAAGCTTCCTACTCCTGTTTCAGAGACACCACTGGAGATCTATGAGAGAGAGCACTGCAGACTGCCCTCCTCCTGTAGACCTGTCGCCTTTTCTTCTCCCCCCACCCCCCCGCCTTTTTTTTTTTCTTTCCCAAAACTTTTTGAAGGAAATCAATGGATACCAAAGTGATCTGTTTATTTTTCTTTTTTTCTTTACCTCCACTGACAGTGGGAAATCACACTGGTCGTATCAAGGTGGTCTTTACACCCAGTATCTGTAAAGTGACTTGTACCAAAGGCAACTGTCAGAACAACTGTGAGAAGGGAAATACCACCACCCTCATCAGTGAAAACGGCCATGCTGCTGACACTCTGACAGCCACTAACTTCCGAGTAGGTAAGTACCCTGAAACTGTATTTGTCCTTAGCTGTCCTCTCTTGACTAACAGAGGGAGGAGATGTTTTGTTATTAATACCAGTTGTGCATCTGTTATTCTTTGTTTGGAGGGCTGTGCTGAGTAGGAACCATTGTGTGTTAGACAAGCTTTCTGGTATCCTTAAGAAATGTTCCCAAAAGTTCCTTTTGTGTCACAGAGAAAAACTCCCATATTTTTCATTTGAATTTTCAGCTGCAGGGGGGCTACAAGATGCTAAGCTGAAGCTTTTGGTAAAATTCATCCCTCAGAGTTTGTGTTGGTAAATAGAGAAAATGTCAGATTCCACAAAAAGTTCTGTTTCCTCTTTTTTGCTTGTTGACTGGGTATCAAATGCACATAAAATCTAGCTAACACAGTGAATGTGTCTTCAACAAATTGTTCAGGAGTTCCTTAAAACTACAATCCTTTTTAGGAAGACATCAGCCTAAAACTTTTTCTTACTGCTGAGAGTAAATCAGGTGATATATTTGTCATTTTTTAGAAACTGAAATAATGTTAAGTCTAATTGCAGTTATTGAAGCCAGTCACTTCTCTGTTTATTCTTTCTGCTTGCTCAGTAAGAGTATAAGCAGTATGTCGTCTAAACCCTACAGCTGTTTGACTTTGTTGAAACAAATTCTGAGAGCTATCTAGGATAATGATTAGCATATTTAAATTCTACAATGTTAGTAGGAATTTGTGTGGAAGTATTAGTCTTGTAAGCTAAGAAAAATACAGATATATGGATACATATCTAAACACTTTTAAACTTGTTTCACTTTATGATATCCTTAACTGCTCTTAGTATAGTATTTTGTTACCCTAAAAATATCATAGTATTGTTTTCTGGGGGAAAAAAAAAGTTGATTTTTTTGCCAGTTTGTACTTAAAGAATGCCAGATATGAACACTGTAATTTTAGTCTCCATCTAGTATAAACAACATGTCAGGCAGTGCTGAGGCGGGCCAATACTGCCCTTTTTCAAAGTGCACTATATTTCAGTCTCTGAGGGGGGGAAAAGCTATTCCAATTTATTCTTCTTTTCATCTGGACAGACGATACAAAGAGCAGTTCCCTCTCTTAACACTCCTACTAGACTATCAGACTGTGGGTGAAAGCTCTTGGAATTAATAATACATTCCTTAATAATATCCATGTTTGTAAAAATATATATGTTTTGGACTAAAGCTAATAAACCCAGTGGTTTAAAGGAGCAATACAGCATATTTTGGATTTGTTTATTGGCTGTTCTGAGGCACTAAAAAAAGAAAAGGACTTTTCAAAGGAATGGTAAATCAAATACTTTGAACTTGTGTTTTCTGTCAATACAGATTTTTACTAACGTTTTGGCAAGAATCACAGCTAAGTAAGTTTTTTGTTTAATTTACTGACTGTTGTGAAAGGATAGAGTTATTCTCCCACCCCTTTCATTTGACCTTATTTTTTAATTGAAATTATGAAATGCTGAGAAGGGGCAGTCGTGTAATTTGTCTGCTGTGTAAATCTGTGCTGTAACATGACCTTCTCTCAAATACTTGAAAACTTGGGGAGTGGAAATTGACCTGTGAAGACATGTTCCACACCTTCCTTCCTGGTCTCAGGCCATGAAGCTCATGATGCACAGTATACAACAGGCTGCTAGAAATATTCAACAAAAGCAGCCTATTATAGTATTTGATGGAAAGATAAGGGAGCATTATGTTTAGAAATGTATAAAAACAAGTTGCTACATGTGTATAGGGTTTTTTAACCTGCCCGTGGCTGTCTTCCTTATTACCTTTAAAAGACAAAAAGTATTCACCGCAGCAGTAAGTGTCCTCATTTTTTCAGAAGAGGAATGAGAAAGAGGTCATAGAGCCCTGTGACTTCAGGGCTCTCCAGTTAAAAATAAAAATGCTGAGTGAACCTCTTAGTAGCCAGAGAGGGAAGATTCTACACCTGTACATTGAGTTCTTTCACTGATCACACATTTTCAGAAGCTTTTGAATCAGGGTTGAAAATATGAACTACTGAAATAATTTTTATTTCTGTTCTCTAATTAGCGCCTCTCATTAGCTTAGGCTTGTCCTGATAGAGATGTCTCCTGATATATAAAGTAGAAGTAATTTGGGTCTTCTGATATAATTTAGTTTTGTTGTATTTTTTAACATCTATATTATGTTTTACTTGCGCTTTTTGCTTTTAAGTCCTCATTCTAAACTTGCTTACTTACTGTTCGTACAAAATGCATGGAAATTCTTATTCTGATAATTTGACATTTTGAAAGTACAACCATAAGACAGAATGTCATGTCAGAAAATACATACTTAAGGCAATGAACAGCACTTTTTCAGTATGTTTCTTTTTTCAAGTATCTGTTCTTTCTAAACCCAGAAAAGTTAAACTCACACGCCCTGTTCGGGAAACTAACTCCTATTACTAATAATAGATGCCTACTATGAGTGGGGAAATTAGGAAACTGCTTTAGGTGGTTATATCTAAATGCATTTCTCTAGCAGGAAAAGCAGTCTAGTACACAAGATTGAATTTAGATTCTCTGAAAACAGATTGCAGTTAACCATCACTTTGCTTTGTCCTTAGTAATCCATTATTTCTAGTAATGAACTAGAGTAAGTTTGTGTTTGTTTTAAACTCTCTGCTGAACTTTGTAAACACTTTATTTTCAGAGAGAACAAGTTGCAGTGCCTGTACTAAAGCTGCTCAAGCTTTTTTGTGGGTTAATTCAGATTCTTAAAATTTGCTTAATTTCTCATTTCAACTGAAACTTGGTACCAGCAAGTCCAGGCAGGGAACAAATCCTGTTTCCTGAAAATTTCAGAAGATGTGGATAAGCCATTAAAAACAAACCCTCAACAAGAAACAGATTGGGGAACTGCAGCTTTTCAGGTAGTGGAAATTTTGGCTGTTCTCATGAAGAGCTCTAGCATTTCAATTGAAGGTGATGAAAGCCTGGTATTTAAAAGGAAGGATCTCCTTGATTGCCAGTATGCTCCAGTGAAACTGGGTTCTCTTGCAGTCTCATTCTGTGAATGGGGTATGTTGCACAGTTAAACTAACCAACTCCAAATATCTCATTGGCTTGGAGAATGAAAGCATTTAATATGAGTGGAAACTTCTGCTGAATAGATGATTCTTATTATTCTATTGGATTGATGCATGTGCAGTTTGCATGGTATTTCAGTCCTGAGTCCTCTACAGAGGCTTATAAAACAGGGTCGATATATGTGCATAGGAAAGGATGCGTATAGAATAACATGAGGTTTCTATCTCATTCACTGTTGAAATTACTTAGTGATGTGTCCTGTTTCTCCTCAGAATTATCCTACATTCTAAAATACTTATTTTTGAAATGAATTTTCACTCCGTAAAGAGTGGGAGGTCAGTGACTAATTTGTAACTGTAAAATGAAGCAGTAAGGAATTAGGAAATGCTCAAATTAATGTTCTTCATGCTCTTTAATTTTTTCCCCATTTTGCATATGCATTTAATTATGCATTTACATTCCATTTTTTTCCACAGGATCCCTGCCACATTCATTGCACAGAAATGACAGTAAAGGAAGCAGTCATTTAATACTTGGTCTTACATTCACTATTCATTGCAGCCCTGTATCTCATTTAAAGCAGTTTATTCAAACTGTTATAAATGAGAAATTAAGAGTTACATGCATATCTTTTTGTAGGAATTTTGTGTCTGAACACTTGGCAGTGTCTGTGTCAAAAAGGGAAGTAGAATCATAGAATGGTTAGGGTTGGATTTTAAGATTATCTAGTTCCAACCCCGCTGCCATGGGCAGGGACACTTTCCAGTAGACCAGGTTGCTCAAAGTCCCGTCCAACCTGGCCTTGAACTCTTCCAGGGATGCGACATCCACAACTTCTTTGGGCAACCTGTTCCAGTGCTTCCCCACTCTCACAGTAAAGAACTTCTTCCTTATATCTAATCTAAATCTATCTTCTTTCAGTTTAAAGCCATTACCCCTTGTCCTGTCACTGCATGCTCTTGTAAAGTCCTTCTCCAGATTTCTTTAGGCCCCGTCTAGGTATTGGGAGGCGGCTCTAAGGTCTCCCCGGAGCCTTCTCTTTTCCAGGCTTAAAAAGCCCAACTCACTCAGCCTGTCTTCATAGGAGAGGTGCTCCAGCCCTCTGGTCATCTTCGTGGCCTCCTCTGAACTTGCTTGAGCAGGTCCATGTCTCTCTTGTGATGGGGATGCCAGAGCTGAACAGAGTACTCCAAGTGGGGTCTCACAAGAGCAGAGTAGAGGGGCAGGATCACTTCCCTCAATCTGCTGTTCCCACTTCTTTTGGTGCAGCCCAGTAGACAGTTGGCTTTCTGGGCTGCAAGTGCACACTGCTGGCTTGTGTTGAGCTTCTTGTCAACCAACACCCCCAAGTCTGTTCTCAGGGCTGCTCTCAATTGATTCTCTGCCCAGCTTGTATTTGTGCTTGGGACTGCCCTGACCCAGGTGCATAACTTTGCACTTGGCCTTGTTGAACTTCATGAGGTTGGCATTGACCCACCTCAAGCCCATCAGGGCTCTTCTGGACAGTGTCCCTTTCCTCCAGCATTTAGACTGCACCACACAGCTTGGTGTTGTCAGCAAAGTTGCTGAGGGTACACTCAATCCCTCTGTCTGTGTCACAGAAAAAGATGCTGAACAGCCCCAGTCTCAGTATCAACCCCCCATACTGCAGATGGAGACCAAGGAGAGTTTAAGAATTTTTTTCCCAAGACCGTAGAACAGAACTGTGGCACAGATAATGATAGAACTGTTGCTCTGCTAATCCCCTTTATATTGCTCTTCAATGCTCATCAAGATCTCTTCTTTTAAAACTCCCTTCCCCTTTTCTTCTGATCCCTTTCCATATAACCTGTACAGTTGTCTTTTCTCATGGCTGTACTGTGCACAACCATAGTTTACTTAGGCTATTACTGAGGATGAGAGTATGTTCTGCTGTGTACTTTTCTTTGGAAGAAGCAT